GTCTCTTCTGTGGACGTAACGCACCATGAAGGTAGAATTTGGCTTCAATTGCAATTGAATACTAGAATAACCAACAGTGATCTAATGTTTTATTTCAGTATCAATTATCAGTGACTGTTATTACCAATGACCAAATCTTTTAGTGAACACACTTATCTGATTTGACGTAAGAAAATACAATGATTTATGGTATATATCCCATCCCCTATGCAACAGAAAAATATTTTTCGTCAGGTTCTTCTGTTAATCGTCGTGGCATCTGCCGCCGTGGCCAGGCCTCAGTACGGCTACAGTCCCCCTGCCACCTACCGCCCTGCTCCAACCTATGCTCCCGCTCCCTCCTACAGGCCAGCTCCCTCTTATCAGGTCAATTTGTAGTTGTATACGCATGTTTTTATTTGCAGAAAGTCGCAGAATGAACCCAAATATCCAAGTGCGGTATATGCATTTCTATGCCAGGCTGACAAAGCACTCCCCTCCCCCAGCAGGCCCCAGCCAAGTACGACTTCGAGTGGGGCGTCAGGGACTCCTACTCCGCCAACCACTTCGGCCACAACGAAGACCGCGACGGATACAACACCCAAGGATCCTACTACGTGCAGCTCCCCGACGGCCGCCTGCAGAAGGTCACCTACTACGTCAACGGCGACTCAGGCTACGTAGCCGAGGTCAGCTACGAGGGGCAGGCCCAGTACCCAGCCTACCACGCCGCCCCCTCCTACAGTCCTGCCCCGACCTACACACCCGCCCCCGTGTACGGATAAATCTTGAACAGTTTTAAGCAAATGTACAATATACTTGTGTTTATACATATTTAGATAAAATGGAGCTATAGGACTTGTATGTATTACTCACGCTGTATGATATACCCTACGGATTATGAACTATATATAGTCACACATAAACGCATTTGCGCTTCCGTCTCGAATGCCTATGCTGGCGAAGAGGGCATCACCTGCGTCATTCAATCTGTAGCGTGGTTGAGGTGTAGTGGCACCGACATTCACGCTACTACAGGAGCTGACGAGTAAACCTCGAACCGTGAATAAGATGTGGGTATGGGCATGGGGAAAACCGGCCGTAACTACCTCCTACAGGAGTGGAGATACACAGCTGTTCATGCAACGGCTTTATTACAAAACACACTATTGCTACTACAGCCTCGAATCCCCGAGGAGACACAGGAAACCACTGGTAACAAGGTAGCATCGCAGTATCACAAAATATCACAGTACACGAGAATCGGAATCAGGAGTCCTCCCCGCCCACACTCACCTCTTCACAGTCAAGGTTACCCCAACTACCTTCTGTGGCGACTCCGCTGTGCGTCAGAGCGAGAGTTGCCAAGTATCCAAACTAAAAGCGGTTTGAGTGTGGACAAACGGACCAAAACTTACAATAAATCCTTCTGGAGGTGGGGTTTAGAAGATGTGCGAGGCTTGCTAAAGGGCGTCAGCAAAGGCATAAAAAAAAATAAACGTGAGCACCCTAAGTGGGTAACACGAGCATCACCCGTTCGCATACACGAATCCAATGAATCCGGGCGCGTTCGTGTAACAAAAATACGTAACTCTACAGCCCCTCCCCCGGAACGGAGAACGCCACACCTCCGGAAGTGCCAGTGCCCTAAAACAATGTGTACAAAGAAATTCAAAATCATAAAAACGGCAAAAACAGAAGAGAACAAAATGAGAAAACATAAAAATATCAAAAACAAGACTAGTAAAATATCACAAGAACATATCCAAAAGTAACACAACATACAAAACTCAAGAGGTTAGGGCGCACTATAGTTTGATCCAGTTTACAAAAGCGCGTCACTCACATGCACAACACTTGGTCGTCCTCAAGGAAGTCCACTGCAGTGGCTGGAGTGTAGGGGCGCATCTGGTTAGCATGGACTCTGACAGCACGGTGTGGGGTCGAAGGTCCAGAACATCATAGCTAACAGGGCCTGACTGCTTCTGTACATGGCAGGGACAAAGCCAGCGATCACCCAAAGGTCCACGGTTCCCTTGGAACTTTCGAAGGACCAGAGCGCCTTCCTGGTAAGGGCCTGAGGTGCGAGCAGCCTGGTCATACTGGGCCTTGTTGGTCTCTCGCATCTTCCTGCTCACCTCAACAGCTAGCTGGCGGGCGTCTGCAAGGCGTGCAAAGTCAAGTCCGGGTCCACAGTCTGGCGGTTAGTCAGCCCTTCCCAAAGAGCGCCATACGACCTGTCAGCAAGTACAACGGCTGGTCCCCACGGCCTGGTGGATGGCTGAGTCAGGGCGAGGCGCACAGCAGGCAGATGAGTGGGCCACTGTGAATGAGCCTGCCTAGCCAGCGCCGCCAATGCGTCCTTCATGTCCAGTTGGTGTACTCTACCACCCCATTGGACTGGGGGTGATAAGCCACAGAAAAGAGCGCTGCACTTGTAATGCCTCAGAAGCGAGCGCCACTCATCAGAGGAAAACTCCAGGCCATTGTCTGTGGGAGATGGTCGGGTGGTGTCATGACGTGGTCCGCAAAAGCTGCAGCACTCTGTTGGCACTCTTGTCACGCAGTGGAACCAGCTGTATGAACTGAGTATGGTGATCGGAACCCTGTTGCTGATCCCTGCAGGTCCATAAGGCTGAGACCCTCACCAGTGGAGCCGGTCTTGCTGGCCCTCTCCGCACAGCCGTCATCCTGGTGAGGTCCAACAGGTCTGCAGCATCCTCACATGCCTCTTGGGCCTGCTTTAGCGGGAAAGCTTTCTCCGCAGGTGGAGGTCCATCACCTGCAGGTCGCGAAAGAAGGTCTGGCACGTGGTGCTTGGCCCCAACCTTATACTTAAGCACAAAGTCATAGCCCCCAAGCTCGTAGGCATACTGACTGAGACGGGTGCTCTTTGTGCGCCTCGAAAAAAACTCAACCAAGGGCTGGTGATCGGTCCAAAACTTCGAACCGTCGACCATGGATGTAAGGGTCAAAAACTCGGATAGCTTTCACCACAGCAAGGCTTCCAGGTCGATGACAACATATATATATATATATATATATATATATATATATATATATATATATACGTGATTTTGTGTCTGAACATAGACACAGAGACAAACATCCAAACATACGCACACATATATTTTTGTATGTACACACACATAAGTATATATATATATATATATATATATATATATATATATATATATATATATATATATATATATTTATATAATTTCTCTCTCTCTCTCTCTTCTTACTCACTCTCATTCTCATTCTCAATTACGTTAGAACTCACAACCACAGTTTTTGTGATTATTTCTTTTGTTTTCTCTTTTCTCTCTCTCTCTCTCCCGGCTTAAACGCAAATGCTTCAAAACAAGGAAGCAGTTACACCATTGCTAGGAATTGCAAGCTTGTGTCACCCTCTTCTTCCCTCGTGTTCCCAATGCAACGATGTGCTTCCGTCAGCAGATCATCTGTGCATTTTAAACTGTCTTTCACGAGCCTCACTCTGTCACGGGCTTTTGTGCTTTAAACATGTGCCGACAATAGTCTTCCTTCTTGCAGCCCTTCGCGCTTCTGCCGCGGCTGAGGTGCCACTTTGGGAACGTGAGTATTTCTGGATTTGAATGCTGTCTAATGTCAAGTTACTTTCATTAGATAGATTATGTGTTGCATTTTGGTGATTGCAAGACTGAAAATCTTGTGTGTTGTCGAAGGAGACCATATAATAGTGCCCAAATTTCGTAATAATTAGAGTCTACTTATGGAGACGTAGATTTGTTTTTACAGAATATATTTCTATAATTTCAAACAGCGATGCATAGTTTTTTTTCTGCCTGCATGTACAAATATCGGATACATTTGTTAGATTTCTTGCGTAATGTGGATAGTTTTGGTTAGAGATACGTAATTATTTCACTTTCTTCCCAAACGTTTACCAGTTTCCTGTAAAATTTTTGAAATATTCAATATCTTCATACTGAGAGGAATTTTTAGTGTTTTTTTTAGAAATTTGTCAGATTTTTTTATTGGATTCCTTACATGTTTCCATAAATCAGTAATCTCTTAGAAAAAGTCAAAACACCCAATTATTTTATTTTTAATATGTGACCGCCTGTCGGAGGTTTTCAGAAATAAAATCCTTGAACCAAGGAATAATAGTTGTGGCCAAAGAATCTTTATTTATCTTTATTTATTTATCTTTATTTTCGGAGTCGCATATTCCTACGACTGACTAAAGTTACCCAATTTATCCATTATTATGTGGATTTGTTGATATCTATCTTTGCTCCGTGAGTGTCGTATGCAACATAGCGAGTCATGTGTAAGGATGTGCAAACCATTGCATGTTCCTTAAACAGCAAATGATATCTTCTTCCTTTATTTCCTCCCATGAGTTTTCCTCGTTGTTTCAATCTTCAGAGAAGCGCGTTGTGGCAAGACAACAGTACAGATGTATGAATGACATAATATGTGAGTGGAAGTTCCTAGTGAATGGAAGATTCCGTCTGCATGGGTGCCAGTGCCGTCCACGTGTCCTGTGTGTCACACGACCAATGATCGGAGCCCTTGTGTGAGGTCAGCACCGCCTGAGGGTCTGGGCGCCGGCTGCCAGGGCGTGCGTGTCTGTCTGCGACTGTCCTTGGGAGTACGAGTGTACGGCAGCGGAACTATCTTTATAGTACATGTATATTCCATGCAACCATTGTTCTCTGTCTATGTGTACTGACAAATAAGTAAACAGAAGTGAGAGCATTTCATTTACTCCACACATTACAGAACTCTCTTTGCGTGAACATAGAGAAAAGTGCTTTGCGTCTCGCACCTGTGGGAGGCGCGATTCGCCAACAATAACATTTCCAGACCGAACACATCTTGTGAGTGTGATTCAGTCTACAGTGATTGTGTAGAATCACTAATTGTACGAATTGGCGAGGTTCGTACAGCGTGTGATGCACTGAACAAGGCTAACGGCGGCTCGTCTATGCACTTTGGCAAACTCCTGAAGTTACAGTTCTGCAAGTAGATTTCGTGGTTTGATGGGTCCGTCTGTCGTACATCTGGCAGCCATTTTCATGTAAACATAGCGTAAATATCTTAATAAAAGAAGCTAGTAACAATTGTAGAAATACCAATAATTGTATTACTTTTTTGAAACATCATATATATATATATATATATATATATATATATATATATATATATATATATATATATATATATATATATATATATATATATATATATATATATATATCCTACATGCAAATTTACTAGAGACCTATTACCTTTAAGTTCTTGCTTATCAAAACATGTAACATTAATATCGTTGATTTTGTAGGGAAGAATTTATTTAGCGCAAATTCAAATTATTATTTATTTTTTATTATTTTATTATTTCATAATGGCAACACGTAACGAAAGTGAGGCATTTTCTTTTCTATCAGCACAGCAGGTATAAACTACAACTGCACATTCATTAGAATATCGATGCATTAAACATCTATGTATGTTAGCTAAATCCAGTAAAAATCTTTGCAAAATCAGTAGGAACTTTTTAAATGCTTCTCGTAGCTGCGCCATCTAGGAGCGGATAATCGAACTGATGGTGTTTTTTCTTCTTCTTCTTCTTCTTCTTCTTCTTCTTCGCTGTCTCAATACATAGAAATCGAGGAAGGCAAAAGTGGATATATAAATGGTTTATCATTGTATCCGTACATTTACCACTGATGGAAACACGAAGGTTATATACTCAGTGATGAGCTAAAATCGGATCTTATTTTTGGCTTTTACTATTCCAAAAGTGATTATGAAGATATATAAAAACTTTGATTTCGTGAGGAAGGACCAGTGTGCCATTTTTATCTACACATACAGGGTTTATTATTACTGATCCGGCCCTCGTTTCCCTTCCATTCCACATCTCGAATATTAATTGAATTACCGTAAACCTGTTGTAAGGGATGAACTACATATCAGTTGTGATGTTTGTTACACAGTGTGTTATGGTTGTGTATAGGAATTCAACAAAATTTGAGTTGACTGATATGGTAGTTATGATAAATCCTGTTGCGATTATGGCTGCGACCTCAACACTATGAACTTCTTCAAAAGAATCATAAAATGCTATAAAATGTACAGATGAATAGATAGCCATAGATTGTTGAGAAGATCTAGGAAGAAAACATTATCTTTGATGTTCAGTGTAAGCTTTCTTCTTATAAGCTTGGAATACATTTTATATTCTACCAACTACAAATAAATAGTTGTTCTTATTAATCGCTATCCATAATAATGATTATACCGTTTAAAAGTCGAGGGAGAAGCGTAACCACTGTCGTCCATACAGTCTAAACTGCCTCTGATTAGAGGAAATTAATCTTATTTGTTCAGCTTTATATAACAAGTTGCATGCTTTGTGTGTAATCATTTGTAACTTATGTGATAAAACTTATTTTCCAGGACATGCTTCATCCGATCCAAGTCGCTGCTGAAGGAAGTCCTCTAAGTAAGTGTCTGTCTCCGCGTACACATACATACACATACATGCGTACATGGTTACATACATGCGCATACACACGAACGCACACATATATACGTACATTCGCACACACAAACATACATACATACGCACACCCCCACATATACAAGCGCAGGCACATACACACACACACACACACACACACACACACACACACACACACACACACACACACACACACACACACACACACACACACACACACACACACACACATATATATATATATATATATATACATACATATATATATATATATATATATATATATATATATATATATATATATATATATAACACACACACACACACACCAAACACGCATATAATTTGCCATGATAACGATGGCTTTATTTGTGGTTATTATTGTGAAAACCGTGATTTTTTTATTAGTAAATACGAAATACAATGATTTGAAATGGGAAATTATACGTATTACAACTGCCACTTTCACGCCATGCTCCTACACTCACACACACCACCCAACGCAACGCACAACACCCCAACACACTCGCTTCTTCTCCATACTCAAGACTGACCCTGTTTCACCCCCTCCCAGCCGGCCAGCGCATCGTGGGGGGCCAAGAGGCAGAGCCGCACAAGTACGGATACCAGGCTTTAGTTACCGACGATGAGTCCTTCATCTGTGGGGGCGCTGTCGTCGGTGATAGGTTCATCCTGACAGCTGCCCATTGCATAAAAAAGTGAGTAATGATAGTGGTGATGTTGACGATGAGGAAATAATGGTAATGCATGTAATTGTAATGGTAATACCTACAGCAAAGGTTGTATTGTGTTGTTACTTTTGTTTATATGAATTGCAGGACGTGACAAGCATAATTGAAGGCAACGAAATTAAGAACATTTCAAGTAACTGAAGTTGAACTGACTGAAGTTTAAGCCCAGTGATGCTCACTTTCAATGCTAGATCTTTTAAAGCTTTGTTTGTCTTTCTTAATCTTTTATCAGTGCGTAGATATGACTTTTCTTATGAAGGGAACTTAACTCTCGCTTCTGATTTTTATTGCTGTATTTGCCTTTTTAGTTTTCCGGATTTTTACTTTTATGTTGAACTTTTACCTACTTCACTGAACTTTTACTTACCTTTTACTGTTCTTTTTCTTACATATTACAGTTTCTTTTACTTACCTTTTATTTACCTTTTACAGTGTCTTTTACTGTGCTTTTACTGAGCGTTTTACTTACCTTTTACTGTGCGTTTTACTTACCTTTTACTGTGCGTTTTACTTACCTTTTACTGTGTCTTTTACTTACCTTTTACTGTGCCTTTTACTTACCTTTTACTGTCTTTTACTTACCTTTTACTGTGCCTTTTACTTACCTTTTACTGTGCCTTTTACTTGCCTTTTACTTACCTTTTACTGTGCCTTTTACTTACCTTTTACTGTGCTTTTTACTGTGCGTTTTACTTACCTTTTACTGTGCCTTTTACTTACCTTTTGTGCTTTTACTTACCTTTTATTGTGCCTTTTACTTACCTTTTGTGTCTTTTACTTACCTTTTATTGTGCCTTTACTTTTACTTTACTTTTACAGTGTCTTTTACTTACCTTTTACTGTGCCTTTCATTTACTTTTACTGTACCTTCTACTAACCTTTTACTTACATTTTACTGGGCATTTTACTTATCTTTTTCTGTTACCTTTACTTACCTTTTACAGTTTCTTTTACTTACCTTTTACTGTGTCTTTTACTTTTGCTTTACTCTTTTGTTTCCGTTTCGTTATTTTACCCTTATTTTACCACACGTTTCTGTGCCTATCACTCGTGCTACCACGATGCTTTTGCTTGTGCTTCCACTATTTCTACTGCTATTCTTACTGCTACTATTTATATTGCTGAAGGACTCTAGAGAAGGAAAAAGCTACATCCTAAATAGATTTTCTTCCACTTTTTTCATATTTTTTATTTTTTATATATTTTGTTTATTTATTTATTTATTTTTTTTCAAGAGTGAACAGAACCCCTTATCTCACTTGGTCCCTAAGCCTCTCTCACGGGAGAAAATTCGGGCTCCTCTGTACGGATTCGTACCGGCCTAACGTAGGCATACTGTAGATAAGAGAGGATTCCTGCATTGTGCACAACCTGTACTATATAATCTGTACTTTGTTTACCCTGTATTTCTGTATATATTGTGTGTATGCATAACCGTCCTAATACAAGATGTTCCTATTTATTGATGTGGCCTCCCATATCTGTATGTTTATTGCACATGATGTGGCGACATTCTCCCTTGATCACGTGACCTAGCAACATTGCCTGTGAGCGGGGTTTCTCGCCAAATTTCGGTCTCTCGGCGCTGGTCAAATATAGGAGACAGATGTGTGCTCTCCCCCCCCCCCCCCATGTAACTCCTGAGAATAGAACCTACTAGATTCAAGATTGGTGTTTCCTTCTCCTGTTGATTACGAAGAACATCCCCCCAACACAAGAAGAAATATACACATACCTTACAATATTTATAGTTGTTATTGTAATTATTACAGTTTAGTTTCTCTGTCAGTTATCATATTTGTAACAGCTGCCAAAGAAACTGTTTCTTTTAGATGTAAAGAAAAGTATGTTGTTTTGAGTGATGAAGAAAAAACGATCAGGTGTAAGACCTTTACTTGGAAATAAAACATGCAAATTAACAATTTCCACTCTTCTTAGAGGGAACCCACAATCCCTATGTACATTTAGTTCATAAACACATAAAAAATACTTCAATGAACAAAATAAACATGACAAAAATCCTGCAACCAGTACAGAAAGAGTTGAATTAATATATACACTAAAGGCAGATCCAAAATACCGCTACCACTGGGCGAGGAAGTAGGAGCGGGAGTAGTAGTAGTAGTAGTAGTAATATTAGTAGGAGCAGTAGTATTAGTAGTATTAGCAGTAGTAGTAGTAGGGGGAAACATCACTTCCTTGATCCAGTCGCGATAAAAATAAACATCAGTTAAGCCCTGAGGGTACATTGGTTCACAGTCATACACGCAGAAGGAAACGATGCCTCTGATATAGTCTCCGTGAGCCGCTGGTCCCCCTGAGTCGCCCTGGAAAAGAAGGATACAGATGTTCAATACGAAAGGAACTGGGAAAGAAGGGAATAGATGAATAGGGAAAGAGAAAGAGAGACGAAGGAGCAAGGAAATAGACAAATGGATAGGGAAAGAGGCAAAGAGAGGAAGGAAGGGACAGACGGAGAGAAGAGAAATAGACAAATGAATAAGGAAAGAGACAGAGAGGGAGAGAAAGGAACAAACAGGGAAGGAGTGAGAAGGATAGACAGATAGAAAGAGGGAGGGAAGGAAGCGAGAGAAAGAGAAAATCTGCACTGATGTTAGGTATCAATTCTATCTTCAGCATTTTTTTTCATTAAGCGTAATTTTCATTATTTTCATTATGCGTAATCCCGTGGAGTAGAGAGGGAGAAAGAAAGAAAGAAAGATGCAGAGAGAGAGAGAGAGAGAGAGAG